GTTGGTTGCTTAGAAAGGAATAGAAAAGCACTAAAATGTTATATGTTGAATCCCAGATGGCTTTGACTTCTCAAACGAGGCTGACTCGAGCATTCCTGGCTCCCCGATCCAACACGGCTCCACAGACCTAGGGATCAAACGTGAGCAAGAGGGGGAGGTGCTGGTGCGCAGGACCCCTGAGCATGGCTTACCGGAGTCCACCTTGGCAGCAGCCACAACAGAGGGTAGGACAGAGATGAGGAGGCAGAAGTCAGTGAGGCAGTTGCTGGAGGAGGATCCTGGCTCCCTATCCCCAAGCAGAACTTCTTTCCATACTAGTGTGTGTTTCCACTATCCCAGGGTGTATTAGCTTCTATTTGCAATACACGCATCCCTTATATACCTAACACCAGGTCAGGTACTACCTTTTGTTATCATGTGGGCTGGCCTGGGGCTTGCATCTCTGTGCGGTGAAAGACAGCTTGGCATGGCTAAAGAAAAGGCAAGGGCTGTAGCTAAGAGCTTTGAGATTGCTTGGATATTCCTATTACTGAGCATGTTTACTCTAATGATTAGGAGGAAAAAATGCACCAAACGAGAGAAAGCTAGTCAAGAAACCAGAATCAGTTTAGGGCACAAAAGAATTTGGTAACAGCTTTAGATTGATGAGATAATATTTCTCAAATGTTCAAAATTTCTAATATCCTGCCATAATTATAAGGTGGTTTTATCTAAGACTGATTCCCAACCTTCTGCACTGGCAGATTTTTTTTTATTTATTCCTTAAGATGCTTTTAACTGAGGTCTCACAATCTTGTTGCTAGCCTGCATGAATAGCCTGACAGAGCAATTGCAAAAGTTTTCATAATGGAATAATGTTGTTTCATTTTAAGCCACTTTAAAACAATGAGTTTTTTTTTCTCAGGCTGTCTTGGTGTATGCTGTAGGGCTTTGGAACAGTTGCCTTTGCAGCCATGTGTTAGTAGTATTTTGTGGGTTGACTGATAGAAATTAATTTTATTTTAGTGAATCTATGAACTTGTCATCTTTTTAAAAAAAAAAAAAAAAGTATGCTTTGGTGCAGTGAATTTGATTTACAGTTTCTCTTGATGATGATGATGAAAGTATGCTTGGTTTCTTGTGCATTTAGCTGAAAAGGTACTCTCAAGATCTCCCTATCTTCTTAATTTGTTTCTGTAATGTAGATTTTCCTTCGGTATGCGAACATTCCTTTGTCATTTTCAACATCTTTATAAAGGTCACAATTCGTCCGAGATGGAGAATATTTTCGGACACAAATTTCAGAGATGTCCTTGTGCAAATTAAAATCTGAGATTCTTGATATGATACATTTCATGGTAAAAGCATATAACTTTTTAACCTGTGTATAATAAGCAAGAGCTATCGAAGCTAAGATGCTTACAAAAGCATGAAGCTTTTCAGTTGTAGTTTTAGCATCTCCTACTTGATGCATAGTGAATTTGAGCATGCTCAGTAAATAAGAGCCCTATCCTGTCCTTACTCCATTTGTTCAGGTGGATCTTACTCCCTGGTATTGAACATTGCATGTGCATGAACTGAAGGATATGGAGAAGTCCTCAGCTTTGCAGATAACTTTTTTGAAAACAGTGGTTGCGAAAAGTTGTAGATATTCCTTTCTTACACTTGAGTTACTTTAAAATATTGGTATTACGTGACCTGTTCCTTGGTCATCTCACATGTTTACCTGGATAAAGAAGTGGACAATGTTTGAATTGATTTCTAAATATAGAAAGCTGATAATGATTTGTTTTGAACAAATTGGACTGAACTCTGCCACTCAGTAATGTTTTTGGATGGAAGGGGGGCCAGGGAGCTACTTTAGGTTTGAAATTGAAAAATAAAATTTATCATTTTTATGGTGTGCATATTACCTTGCTAATTTACTGATGCTGATCTTGCAAGAAGTTTGGATTAGCAAATGCTTTCATTTTAAGTAGCATTATCTTATCTAACAGTAGCATGGTGGAAAAGATCTTTTTTAGTGAATCTTAATATTTCCTTTCAAATGTTATGTATCTAATTTTGGGAAGGGTAAGCTGAATAAATGTCTGTTGAAAAAGGTGAAGAATCCCTTTTTGATCCAATTTGTAAATTATTCTGCCTGTTCCCAGGAAGAAGCTTGGTGTTCTCTCAGAGGGGTGTGTTCTCTTGTCAGTTGGTAGTGACAGCAGCTATAGGTGTGTGTAGTAGGTTGTAGATAATGCTGAAGGAAAAGCCAATTCGGAGAGGAAATAACCTGTGGTAGAAGTCTAGAAGGGTATGGATAAAGTGAATAAGAAACTTATTCTCTAGGTTCCAGAATTAAAAAAAAACAAACAAACAAGGCATCCACTAAAATTATCAGGAGACAATTTTAAGATGATCCAGAGGACCTACATTTTTACATAGCATATAGTTAACTTGTGGCCACAGGAGGTTGTAGAGGCAGATCAGTATAACCAGGTTTAAAAAAAGATTAGAAAAATGCATGGAGGACAAGCTCACTGGAAACTATTAAATAGAATAGTCAGGGATGTATCCTCTGACATTGCTAAACCATTGGTGGTTGATGCCAAGGAAGGTATGACAGGGGATAGATTACTTTAGACATGCTCTGTTCATATACTCTCCCTCTACTGCTTGACATGATTAGAGATAGGTCTGTTTGTCAGTGACAGCTTGTCAGAGACAGGATACTGGACTACACGGGCCACTGTTCTGACCCAGTATGGTGGTACTAATGTTCTTAAAATACTGCTGCAGGATATACTTTGTATTAACTTGTATAAGATAGAAAATCATGTTACTTAGAATCACTAATTCCTACAGAAAAATATTGCAAATCCTAAAGGGAAGAACTATGTGACTGACTATTCATTTTCTTTAGTTTATGTATCACAGCACTTACAAGGATTTGATCAGTAAGACTGCTAAGAAAAAGGAATGCTTCTTGATTCTGTTACTGGTTTGTTGAAAACTACCAGTTTTCCTGAGTCCTGTGTTCCAGATTAGGGAGGTAGACAATGGGACTGCACTCGCCCTTTCCTTGTTTCTGAGAGTAGTGTTTAAAAGAAAAATATTGAGCATTATGATAACTTTGTATGTTTGAATGACTTAACTACAGTGAGAACTTTCCAGAATACCTGGGATCTTACTAGTGAGAGATTCTCTTGCATGATGTCTTCTCTGTGTTCTTCGTTCTTGAGCACCGCTGAGCTGCCCACGCCTGTGCATAGTTGCAGCATCCAAAAGCTTGCACCAAGCCTCTCAGTCTCCTCTCTGAATTTAACGGATAAATTCTGTGCGTCTGGTCTTTCTGCTTTGCTCTTACAGATTCCTGTCATTTATCTTGAGTAGGATGATCCTCTAGCAGCTCTGATCATTTACTTAGGCTCTCTTTGAACGCCAATTTAAAAACCGAGGAAGCACTGAAGCATTCTACTCTGTATTGCTTGGATGTCTCCTTGCAAGTTGCATATTATATATTTGAATAAGGAAGAGTTGAGAGGGGAGGTGTAAGCTGGTGCTGCTCCTAGCAAAATGCACTTTCATCCAGCTTTGCATGCAGGGTATAAAAGAATGTAAATGCTGGTTCTGGTGAGAGAGGTGCTTTTGCTTCTAGGATGTTATAATGCTATCATCTTTTACTAGCACCTTTTGAGAATTGTATGTTGGTGGTGGTGGGTTGTTCATATGATGTCTCATTGTTGATCATAGAAAAATACTTGTATGAACAAAAGAAAAGACAAAATTTGAAGCGAGTCCTTTTAGATAGTGAGAGAAAACAAAACAAAAAAAGTATTTTTAAATATTTATTCCAGAAGTTGCAATAAGTATGCTGGTCTTCATTCTGATAAATAGAAAATATTTCTTAATGTTTTTAAAATGTCTGTTTTATCTTAAGGTTGATTTCTACCCTCTCCCCTACCATACAGGGTTAAAACTGCAATATTGAGTAACTTCTTCTGTTTTGGGGATCTTAATTAGATATTTGAGACATTACATAATGAAGCAGACCAGCATTACACTGCTCTCAGAATAGCCTTAGGTTAGACTGGGGGTATTAAATGTATGGATCTGGGCCCATGGAGCCATATGATCCAGCCCAGGAGTCTCCAACTGACCCTGTATGACACTTGTGGCTTGCAGGTTGGTTTGGCCTGCAGGCTGGACCTGGCAGTATACACAGCACAGGGGATCGGTCTGGGGCACATGCTGCATGCAGTACCCATGCTTGCATCAGTCTGAACCTGAGCATTGGCTCTGGGGCTGGTCTGGATTGGGCTGCACTTGAGCCAGTCTGCAAGGCCTATCCAGTAGGATGTGGCATGCAGTGTATGCCCTATGCCAACCCTATGCTGCATGCAGCATGCTTCAGTCCTGCTCTGGGGATTACTATACATGCAGTGCATAGGGTCAGCACAGAGTGTGTGCCGCATGCAGTGCCCTGCCAGACTGGCTCTGCGCATGTGATCTGGTGAGTACTGATGGCCTGGGACCCAGTCCTGCCTGGCCCTGGAGCAAGTGTGCTGGATCAGTTGAGCAGGGCACCTCAGGCAACATGGGTCCTGGACTCTGTGCTGTATGCCGTGCCTGTGGTGCTAGGGCTGGCAAATGCTGCGTGCAGTGTGCAGAGCTGGATTGGCTGTGTGCACTGCATGCAACACAAGGGTCCGGCAAAGGGCACACACTTTATGCAGCACCCTGCTGGATCAGCCTTGCATGCTTGCTTCAGTGTGTGGTCCCAATCTAGCCTGCAGACAGACCTAGTCACCCTCATCTGGCTCATTGAGCTAGATAAATTTGACACCTCTAGGTTAGAGAATGCCCAAACGGGTAGGGACTAATAATCTCTTGTAGGCTGAATAATAGCCGTATTAAGTTCAAAGAAAAGGTTTTATTTTACTTATTTTTTTCCTAAAGGGAAAAGGACAGGAAAATAACCCAGTTATTGCAGAAGCAAGCCAGATATTTTTTCATATTGAAGCAACTTCAAGAGCTAAGCAGTGGCTACCAGAAGAGACGAGCTTATATGTTCACATACTACTTTTAACCCATGTGTTGTCAGTGCATTGACAACAGTTTACATGGAAGGACAGACATATGTCCCTTGTATATTTTAATATCATTAAAGGTGTGCTTTCCTCCTTCATTCAGGGAAGGAGCTTCATAATACCTGTTTGATTGGTGGCAAACTAAATTTAACAAACTGTTATTTGAATAACAGCAATTGAAGCTGTCAAATATGTTCACTTTTTGTAAGAAACAATCAATCATTATTTAGGCTATTTAAAAAGAAATTTGAAATTCTTACAACTTGAAGAACTCACTTCTGGAAAATAGGGTAAAACTTCTGACTTTTCCCTACTCTTGAAAGTAGTATTTTTTTTAATTAAAAGGAATATAAACAAAAGTTCCAGTTCTTGAAACTTAGAATTTTGTTCAGATCAGACTTTTAAGTTAAATAATTAATTTTATTTTTTCATATTTGTGATGGGAAAACAATTTGTGACTTTTCCTGGGTCTCAAAATTGCAGTTGGAACAATGAGATTTGTTTGGTTTTTTTTAACATCCCTAGACACTTTATAGGACTGAAAACAAGGACTAAAGTAAATACATCTATAGGCTTAGCAACAGAGAAAGCAAAACAAAATGTGAACCAGGGACTGAAAGGGGCTTCCAAAAGTGTTAGTAGCCAGCACACTAACAGAGCTCATCTAGTGTTGCAGTCTTTCAAAGCAGCCCTTTCTTAAAGGTGACTCACCAAGTACATTCCCAATTGGGTTTTAAATTTCCACCTTTCAAAAATATATACCAGGGTGTTTCCCATGAGATTAAAGACAAAGTCACCTACAAATTGGTTTCATTTGTGGACTAGAATTATAGGTTTCTGTTCAATAGCCAGGTCCTGTTTGGAAGCCTCAAATCTTTTTTTCAGTTTAATCATATATATAATCTAAAGATATTTGGATATCTTGGTTAAAATAAAATGGAATCCAACTGCATGCAATTCAACTGCAGTGAGTAGAAGGAAAGGTAGGAATTTGGGGGAGAGAGAATTAGGAGTCAGATTTATCTCCAGTGAAAAGTTTAGTCACTAAATTCAAGGTCTCGGCTAGCATCAGCAGTAGAAATCTACCACACTTATAGCACTGTTAAAAGATGAGATATAACAAGGGGTCTAATCTGATCCTGAAGGTTCCTGAGCGCTTACAAAAGCAAACAGATTCCAAGAGGAACTGCATGTATTCAGAGCCTCTTGAGATTCTGCTAAAAATCCAGATTAAAAAGTAGAAACTTAAGCTGAAAGGCTGAGTGAAGGGGTTGTAGAGGCCTCTTTTTTAAACAGTTGACTAGTGCATTTGTAAAGCAAAGTTTTATTCAGACGCTGATGATTATCTCTCCCTAGAATGTCAGAGTTGATTAGTTTTGAAGAGGATGATGATAAAATATTGTAACAAATTGTTTAGCCAGATAAAAAGTTGATTAGCCTGACTAATGGAGGATATAATTCTCTGCTTAGACTAGTAAACAGAAGTAATATCTATACAAGTGTGAGAGAAGACTGGGGCTTGTGGCTAGAACTAAGAATGAATGAACCATAACGGCCCAATTCTTTCTTATTTGCAGGTGTAAGTTAGGAGCAACTCTTCAAGGACAAAAAAAACAGTGCAAATGAGAGGCAAATCAGTAGAGGCAGCAATTAATTTCAGTACTTGCAAACTTACCATTTACTGTGTAAAACAGAAAGGTTATTGGTTGCAAAAAATCATCCTAAGTAACAAGTGGAAAAACCTTTGGATCAGCAAACAAAATTCACCTTGATGTTGTGTGTGCACATTTTGCTGCTTCATGTGACTTGACTGCTCAGTTTCTGGGTCTGATTTGTTTGTTTTTGGGTTTTATAGATGTGGAGAGTGTAAATGGAAGGGAGGAATCCATGAACCTCAATGATGCTGATGAAGGATTTTCATCAGGTGCTTCCCTTAGCAGCCAGCCAGTTGGGACCAAACCTTTATTGTCTACATCCCAGAGGAGCAGCTTAAGAAAAACAGCAAGTGGGCGTTCTGCTAAAGATAAAGAAACATCTTCTGCCACTAAATCCAGTGAGAGCCCTCGAGATTCAGTAATTCGGAAGCAGTACCTGCACCAGGCAACTGACTTAAGTGCAGATGGAATTGAGATGACACCTACTAAGAAACACCTGAGCCTGCCAGCTGGGCAGGTGGTGCCAAAAGCCAGTAGTTTGAGCTTGATCCGGACAGCCAGTGCTTCCTCCACTAAATCATTTGACTATGTGAATGGCAGTCAAGCAGGCTCCAGTGTTGGGGTTGTCACTGAGGATGTTACTAATCTAGCAGTTGGCAGTGTCAATCGATTTTCAACTATCAGCCTACAGGAAGATCAGCTAGGCCAAGCTGGGGACGGTAAAGATCTCCTTACCCCAGGAGCTCCCCTGACCAAGCAGTCTCGATCTCCAAGTTTCAATATGCAGCTGATATCCCAGGTGTAGCTTTGATTCCCCTCCAAATCCTCCATCTTTCCCTTTAACCCACATGAAGTTCATCCTTGAGCAAAACAAGAACCTTCATCCCATGGTGTAAAAATACTGACTGTTGTGATCTTGTTTGAATCGGTTTAGATATTATACTGTATTTTGTACTGAAACAGCAATAAATCTCTCCTCTTCCCCCAGTTCCCGCCCCTTGTAAACATGGTTGTGAACCAGTATAAAATGTACTGTATGCCTTTTCCTATGCCTTCCTTTCTCCTTGGGTGATGTGCAATCCATCGTAGGCCGATCAGTCCCATTTCAACACTGTGAGACTGGAGATGTCAGCGGAAATGGTGAATGTGATCCCTATGAGATGATGCTTTGGCTTTTGTCATGAAATAGAAACGGGTTAGTTTTCTCAATCTACATTACTGCAAAGACTACTGGATCGTGATTTTTTTTCTTTCTCAGAACCAGGAGTGCCTCAGAGATTCTAATATGACTTTGGACCTCTCTGAGTTTGTGCAATCAATTCTGGGGGAGGGGATAGTTATCATTGCTCCTGGCTGTCTACTGCACTTTCTCATTAAAATGAGGGTAGTTCTTCTCTCTCCGATCCGTACTCTTACCCCTGAAATACTAAACGTTTAGAAAATGAGATGTGCATATGACCAAGTTGTTGCCTGCTCAGACAGAGAGGGCTGTGAGCTGATGATGATGTAGGTTACAGTGCACTTTTAATGGCGTTGTAGCCATGTTTAATGTTACATGTCTTCCCTCCAGGACACAGGGTCATTGTGATAGGCTACAATTTAGAAAGACTATATCCTTAAAGTAGTTCTGAAGTTGGAGGGGTACACACTTTCCCAGGAATAATAAACTAGTCCTATTTTTATGAGTTAATGATCACTGAATTGATTAAGTGTATCTTCAGGTAAAGAGAGGGCTTCCTCAGGCTGATTTTTAGTGTCATGGTTACTGGAGAGACCCTCTCAGCTGCTTTCTATATAGGGTGTCCCTAAATTCAGTCACAGTATAGATTCTGAAACTTACATTTCAGACGGATCATTCTCCAAGGAGCTGTATCAGAGACAGAGATGATGGTTTGTAGAAATACTGAAGCTTCAATGCTAAACACTTTTCTAGAAGCATTGTCTGTACAAAGGGATTATTGACAGTCCTTTTCTCCCAGAAGGATCACACTTCACTGCCTTGGTATTTATAACCCATTGCATTTTGTAAATACTATTTCATAACTTAGTGGTGTGGAGCAGCCCATCCTCTAGAAAACTCAGAACTCATGCCATTGAAACAATTTTTGAATGTATGTGTTTGGTGTATGAGCAGTGTTTGGTACTTAAGCTAGAGAGCACTGTTTAAAAGTACACTTCTGATTACAAAGGAAAATGTTCCCCATATCTTTGTCTCCAGTTTGCTTTTGCAGAGAAAAAGGAAAGTTTAACCTTTTTTTCTCTATTGTATTATTACCTGGAAGTGTATAGGTTACTAACTGATAGAAAAGTAGACAATTGCAATCTTTTGGGGTATGGGCACTTTGGCTTCATCATTTTCACTGTGAAAGAATATACACAGGTAGTTAAAAATAACAGGTTATATTAATGATAAAGTTGTAAAGAATTCTCAACTATAAAGTAACATTACATTGTTATTTACTGCTTTCTTTTAAACGTAACTGCTGATTCTCTTTGCGTTTCAGCCCTCATTTCAAATAGTGTCGTCTTCAAAGCACTTTCACCCTCTTTATTTAAACAAAGGAAGGAGTCTTTGTGGCTGATAGGCTAAATGGCCAAGTGGGCATCTAATCTTAATAATTCACTTTCGGAGAGGAAAGATTGAGATGAGAATAAAACAGTAATTGGCAAAGAGAAAATAATGTCTTTTTTTCTTCTTTTTTTTAATAATTGCAATTAGCATTTAAATATCACTTGTGAGCATAAATAGAACAAAGACCAAATCGGGAGTAACTATGAGGTAGAGCACCTGGGTAACACCAGCCTCAGGAATGTCTACTATGAAAAATACTAAAACTGCTGTATAGCAAGAGATTGACCCTGGTGTCCGTTCATTTTCTAGAGCACTAACAGTGGAAGCTGTGCCACAATAGTTGTGCAGAAGTTTTGCTGTTTTTATTTAAAGAGTAAAAATGTTTCATTTTGAACAGATGAAAAACAGAAAAGGGAATATTTGTAAAGATAAATAGCCATAACTGAAAAGTGATAAGGACCAAGTTATTGTTATGTTAGGTTTTTGGGGCAGGAATACAAGTCAGACTTATCAACTGAGCTTGGAAGAATTGCAACATATTTTTGTTGTGTAGTTATAAACAAAACATTTCCATTTATGTTTGGTAGCACTGTTTTCAGGTTCTCCATTGACCACTGAAAACTCTCACTTAATGGGTTTATAACTCTCTTTTTAAAATTTGCATCAAGCCATAAACTTAACAAAAGTTTTCACATCATAATCCATTTCTTATACAAAATGAAATTAAATGTGTTCAGCAAAAGTAAACAGTCCTGTGGTTTCAGATGAGGAGTAAAATTTGGGTGCTCAGATCTGAATTGTTTAAAATCTTAGGTGTACAAAAAACAGCTTTGTGTTTAGTAATCTTTTTGATGGTGTGTCTTTTGGTGCATCTTAAAAATCAAATCTTTTGTTAGCCTGCTTTTTGTGTATATATAGACCTTACTTTCTCAAGTTTTTGAGAGGTCTACTCTATTTTGGTTAGCATCCCAATTCCTTATAGTGTACTGACACAATACATTATAATTTTTCCCAAGGACCCTTCAGGTGCTTTCTGAGTCAGACGTACTGACCGATCAACATCTTTCTTACGGAATAACTAATCCATTAACGATCATGAAGGAGTTGGTTATTATAATGTGTCATGTCATTTGAGTATATCAGTAGTGCCCTAAAATGTGTCAGTCTATGCCAGGGGGGATTCAAGTGTGTAGTGAAACATACTAGTACTGTGGCAGTAATGGAAATGGCTATTTCTGGACTACAAACTGAAAGAATTAACTGACTTTGGAGGATGTGTTACATGCTCGCGATAAATTAAATACAAAACTATGTTAAAAGAACTTTCTAATGATCGTGAGAGATGCTTAAACTTAAATCTCTTGATACCTAACTGTCTTGGTATGATGGTGCATTTGGTATGTAACATTATGGACTAGTTTTAGACCCCTGTGACATTTCAGTATGGCTGCCGCATACAAGAGAGAGTCAGAAAACCGACTGCTACATTCACCTTCTTATCTAAGCATGTGTGCACATGGCTCTTGGGTGAGGAACAGTGGGTACTGTATGCAGGTGTGTGTATATATACATATAAATAAGGATAAATGTATTATCCCTTGATTTTTAGTATAACTATATACTGTTTTTACCACATTACAATAATATGCTGCCATTTTGTAACTAATTTTCCTGGGGCTTTATAATTTAAAAAAAATACAAAATTACTGGCTTGCTAATCAAAGCTTTGATCGACCTTTCTAGGTATTTATTCTAAGTAGCATTTTGGTTGAACTGTGAGACATTTTTCTACTGCAGGCAGCAGAGTGGCAAGTAATGTTGGCTAAACTGAATGTGCAACATGAAGATTAACTTTCTGTATTGTCCCTTCATTTAGCTTTCAGTGTATTGCGATGTTGGACCTTATTGTACATCACACATACAATTTTTGAATATCCTTTCTGATATGATTTTTAAAAAGCTTTTTAGCAGTGTGAAGCTTGAAGTACCATACTGTAATAGTAATTATGATATCATGGCAAGGATGTGTCATATCTATTTTGCATACAGAAGTCACAGATATTTAAATCTGTTTCCAACCTAGATTCTCATGTTGTTCTTGCTAGCTTTAAAGTACTTAAAATCACATGCTTTGACATCAGAATAGTGAGAATAATATTGTTTTCTGATATTTTATTTGCACTATTTTTGTGAATAGTAGAATTTACTGGGGCAGGGTTTTTTCTCACCATGTGAGGTTTATTTGTGTGTGGGTAGATGCATACATTTGTCACGTGTTGACAATCAGTTGCCTCAATTGTGTGTATACTCTGTGTAAATACAAATGTGAGATTAAGGGGTAAGACTCATGACTATATAGTGGCAAAGCTACTGCATAGTGGGGGTAACCTATTTTCCACCCCTTTGTATCTATACTATGTGGTTTGCTTTACATTTTGACTATTAGTATTTCATTGAAAAATGTAGCGCAAGGAAAGTTTCTTCAGTACATAGTGGATTAAAGGTGTATGAAAATTATATTATGAAGACTTAATTTTGGAGCAGGTTATTTTACACTACTATGGCCATGTTTATATCAATAGCATAAACTTATTTTTGTCCTTTCTGATAAATCAGTGGCTGTCTGCTTTTCATGTTTTCAGGTTTTGTTTTTTTTTTTATTTTGTGATGAATAGACCTGAAAAAAATTCTGATAAATAGATTGATCATTTTAGTTGGATTAAAAAGAAATAAAAAATCTAGTAGTAAACCAAAAGAATCTGCAGATCAGGTAGAAACTAATAATAGCTTCTCAAGAAAAGAAGCAGACTTAAAGTAAGCTTTATAAATTACTCTACACACAGGATGGAAATCTATAAATAGAACGAGCTAAATAAGTTTTATATATGCGCTGTACACAGAACAAAGATATTCTTAATGTTCTTAAAATTTAATAATCCAAACCTAAATTGTTGCAATCTCTCATTGCCAAAGACATTGTTACCTTAGTACATTTATCATGGTGTTAAGTGCATTATTATTGTTGCATCCATTGATGCTATCAAAGTAGTCTGTGTGGATAGTGAATGTGCATTTTTTATTCCGTGAGTTAAGGATGGCTGCAAAACTCAACAGACAAAATTTAAGAGTAATTTATGCCCGTTCATTCCAAGTTTGCATAATAAAAAGCACATATTTGCTGCAAATAGATTATGTATTCCGTTTATACTAGACCATACCACATGTAATGTTTTATTCAGTATTTAAATGTAATGTTTGTTTGTAGGAGCTGGGCCTTAATTGCCCTTGATTATCCTAGTTTATTCCGTTTCCCCACAGCTCTTGGATAGTCATGGGTTTTTATACTACACTAAAGTTTTATTTTCATATTTTTGTGGCTGTAATATAAATATATTAATCCATTTTTTCAAAATTACTATAACACTTGATCATCTGAAGCCCCAAATTATATGGCTTTTACATGATGATGGAAGAAAATGAAGAGCTGTGGGGCAAATTGATTCATGACTAGTTGGTGAAAAGAACATGTTTTGTGAAGCTGGCATACATATTTATTTTCACATGGCCATTGCATACATTTTAATATATATTTTAATGCAACTCCTACCTTAATACTAGCTTGCAAAATATAGAACAGGAAGAAAGGAGGTGGCTATAGCCACCTACAAATAAATATACCTGAGAGTTGGGTAAGGGTTGATGCTTGCAGTTAGAATAGATTCTGTTAATTCTGTAGTCATCCCTAGGTATTGGAAACAAAAATCCTCAGATACAATCTGTGGAGGAGAAATTAAGTTTAATGTGTGCAGCCTGTCCCAGGCTAAACATATATATATATAATTTTTTTTTTTTTTTAGTTTTAGAATTAATGGCACATTTCTTTGTTTCATGATTTGGTGTATTTTTCTCATGGTCTAGAAAAGTGAATTCTATCTTCACTATGGGCATCAGAGTTTACCAAAGATAATGTTCAAGGACCAAAAGTGTCTGAAAAAAGGTCCATTCTTCAGTAATTTGTCCCTCTCATCTAAATAATTAGTTTTCTACACCTGTGAGGAATATTAATGAAAACAGGCATACAATAATTTTGAGATTCTGACACATTTTTAGCTAGAAGCTAGGGTTTTAAGTTCCTTAGCATGATAAAAATTGACTTTGTTCCATTTGTTATTTTGGCATAAAATCCTATTTATTGGCTTATAGTCAGTAAGAACTGAATAGCTTGGCACAGAAGACCTTTTTTTATTCTGACTGAATGCATCTATCAAAGTAAATTTAAAATTCTGACCTTCCAAAAGATTTTTACGTCTGGAAAAATTCCATGCAGAAATGGTTTAATTACTGAAATGCCTACAAACAAGAGCAAATAGTTGTATTGTGTCTGTAACTGGGATGACTAGAATTTTAGGAATCCCTGCCAGTAAGCCAAGACAGTGGGTCCTGTTTGAGTTTTAGGAATACCTGCCAGTAAGCCAAGACAGTGGGTCCTGTTCTAAAAATGAATACAAAACAGAGAAACTGGTGTTAATAAAGCAGTCTCTTCAAAGCGAGCTAAATTTTCTTTTTGCTATCATAAAGATTGGAAAGTGACAGAAAAAAGCTACTGAATTTTTTTTCTCAGTTCAGACAATTCACATGCCTGCACTAATTTGCATTTTTCATAAGAAACAATGATTACTAGTAACTACATGACATACCTTTAGTAGGTATGAGTTGGCAATTGCTCAGGATAAAGTACTTTGCAAAGTATTCATGGATTGTTTGTTAGTGGTCAAAGTCTGTGTACGTGTGTGTATTCAACTGTTATTTTGAAATAAACCTTTTTGCTGTTTTCTTACAGAGTGCATACTTTTGGGGAAGGGTAATACTACTAGTGACTTATGGAAAGAAACCACATAATTAAATAAAACCATAAGAGTAATTTAATTATTTAAGGAATCCAGGAAATAAGCTAATAAAGGTTTTGAATGATTCAGTCACACTCTTAAAACATTTTGGATTTACTATTGGTAGATTTTGTTTGCTATGAGAAATACACTGAAATACCCCATGCTGTTTTTTAAAATGTGTAATTCCTCTACGTTAGAGTGAATCTTTTGATTCTTACTGTCCTTGTAACAATACAAGATTTGCAATCAGTTTAACTAGGAAAATGAAACATTCTGTAAGGATTTAAAGATTTTTTTTTTCTTACTTTTTCTGTCATACCAGGTTTGTTTCTCAGAATGAAGGTTTCTGAGGATTTTTACTTTTTTGCATTGATGTAATTTTATCTGTCACAGAAGGAGAATAGGCAGCAGGTAACCCATTTTTATGGACAAATGTTTGGCAAAAGGACCTGAATTATTAGATAAACTCCCATTTTACCAGCAGGATCCTGCATGTTGATATGAACTTGCAACCATTCAGGATACAGTGCTGGTGAAAGACTAAACTAACTGGGCGCATCATAAACACGGTCTGTACTGTGTGATGCTGTCCTTTAACCTGGGACAAGAGGGAGGGGGAAATCTTGCAGAGTTGAAGATGGCACGTATTGAAGATCATATTATTGGTGCATGTAAGCCATTATCTTAACTGTCTTACTGAAACTGGTTAATGCTGTTGACTGTTGTTGAAATGTGAAATGTAGTTACTGTTGACTTTTTGTAAATATCTGCCAGAGATGAAAAACAAATATTTTAAATCACTGTAAATAAGGATGTATAAAATTTAAAGCAATCTGCAATGCAGAAAATATACATACACACAGATATATGATGTGAAATAAATATTGTGCTGTTTCTGGAGAAAAGTATGTCTCTTGTCAGTTGTATGTAGGGACAGATGGGGGGGGGGGGGTATAGTCACAGCCCCCTTCTGCTTTCTACCCACCCAAACTTTAAAACCAAGTACCTGGGCAGGGGCGCAGCATTTCTATTAGGGCAGAGCTGACGGAACACGTTGACTTCATGGCTCATTAGCAGCTCCCTGACCATCCCTGCTAACCTCTCCCCACCACGGGCTGTAAGAGCCCCCTCCCGTTTCCCAGTTCAGTCGCTCCTTTGTGCCAGCCTCGCCCTCCGCGGCCGCTGTCACTGATGTCCCGCCCCCGTGCCCCGTCCTGAAGGCCGCCGGCGGCTCTGAGCCAAAAGCGTTCACACCCGGGCGGGCGCTGTCAGGCGCTCGAGAAGGCCGCATTTGGCTCGAGGAGCTGGGGCCGCCTTCCCTGTAGCGGCCGCGCGCCGGTGCCACCTCCTCGCTCACTAGTTTGACTTTTTTCCCCCGCGTAGTTGGAGTTTTTGGTTAAACCTGGTACGAGGCGGGGCGGGGAGCGCCGGGGCTGCCGTGGGTTTTTTCCTGGTAGTTTACTAAGAAGCCTCTCGCTGCCGGCCCACGTGAGGAAGCCGCCTAGTGGAGGGACGCGCGCGGCGAGGTCCGGGCCCCTGGCCGCGGCCTCACGTGACCCCGGGAGCTGGCCCGGCCCCGCCCCGACCTGCTGGGCTGTGACGCGCAGGACCCGCCCCCCAGAGGGAGAAGGGAAAATGAGAGGGGGCGGAACAGATTGGCGAGGGGTAGGGATGCCGATTGGCTGCAGGGCCGATCGTTCATGAGGCTGCGGCGCGCCTCATTGGTGCAACTCAGCCCGGGGGGGGGCGTTAGATTCTCGTTGGCCCGCCCTTCCTTCCGCCCGCGAGGCGCCGGTGTCGCCATGAGCCAGCCCGCGCTACAGGGTGGCCGGCGCCTGGAGGCCACGTTCGTGTCGGACGAGGATGTGCTGCGACACATCTCGGAGGACGCGGGTACGGGCGGGGCGGAGCGCTCGGGCCGCAGCGCGGCCGCTCCAGCTCCGAGCCGGGGGTGCAGCCCCGGGGCCCGTCTCTGGTGCTGCGCGGGAGCTCCCGGGCGCTCCTGTGGCACGGAGTATTGAAGCGGTGTAGTGGCAGGCAGGGGTTTTCTTTGCAATCGTAGGTGCTAAAGTGAAAAGGGACCGAGCCCCGCACGTACTGGGCCCGAGGAGGCTCGTGAGGAAGCTCGAGAGCATTTCGGATGAGGAGGAGCAGGAGGTCCTGGAAGAGCAGAGCTACGTGGCCGTGCTGGGGGCAGGCGCCCAAGGTATTGGTGGGGAAACGATGTCCATCATTTCAGGAAACTCTTGCACAAGCTTATTAAGAGACAGCTGTTTTCAGGGAGGTGCCCGCACGTACTGGGCCCGAGGAGGCTCGTGAGGAAGCTCGAGAGCATTTCGGATGAGGAGGAGCAGGAGGTCCTGGAAGAGCAGAGCTACGTGGCCGTGCTGGGGGCAGGCGCCCAAGGTATTGGTGGGGAAACGATGTCCATCATTTCAGGAAACTCTTGCACAAGCTTATTAAGAGACAGCTGTTTTCAGGGAGGTGTTGGTGACAACCAGCTTTGGCTGTCTGTGTGGTTGGTTGGGGTTCGGCAGCTCGAGGACTGTCCCCTATCACATGAACATCTCCTGTAAAACCTCCAGCATCAATAGCGAAGCATCGTGTCAGACTCGGACCAGTTGTTTATCAGATAGAAATCACTCTTTACCCATCTCTAACAGATTCCTGCAGTAATGGCCCCCGGGCAGGTGGTGGTGAAGTTTACTCCTTCCAGACTCCAAAGCGCTCCGGCAAGATGGCAGAGCTGGGTATGTTGTCTTCCCTGTCTTGGAGCAACGAGCTCCTTGTAGGCTCTTTGTTTTGTCATCTTTTTATTAACATGAAGACTCGTTAAAGTATTTGTGCTCTGTCAATCTTGCAATTGACAGAGAGCAGCACTGTGGAGAAACAGGCTTGGGGTCTGGATGTGATGCATACATGCTGGTGGCTTCTGTAATACAGGTCCAGTTTTTACAGAGGACCTATTTTGTATGCATGCAGCAATGATTCCCCTTCCTAGATTTAGAGTGTCCTTCCCAACTTTTTCAGATTTGTGGCACCCGTGGTTAACCACTCTTCTGCCTCCTCAACTTGTGTTGTCAATCAGGTGCTTCTGTAGCCAGGCTGGAAAGAGCTGTAGTACATATGTGCTGTCCTGCCTCATTAGAGTTCTCTGACAACCCTTAAGCAGGCTGTAGCTCCAGGCACTGTCCTGGAAGGTGGGGTGCAAAAAGACCCAAAAAACAGTTGCTCCCACAGCTGCAAAATCACACCAGCACTATGGGGACAGCCTGATGATGCCTCTGTGCATCACAGCTTCCCCAGGTACCTGACTGACTTGTTATGTCTCTGGGCAGGAGAGCTGGCTCATGCTGCATCCCTTATCAGTCTGACCATGCCTGGCGCCTCCCAAAAACAGAAGTGAGGGGCAGATGGAACAGTCTTGCATGCTGCTGTTTCTGGGAGTAGGGGGACTGGGGAGGGGAGAGAGGGGTCTGGAGCAGGAAGGGCTGCAGTATAAGCCAGTGGGTCTCCTGCCTGCTTTGGCTTATCAGTAGACCCTAATGAGGCGGGAGTGTGTGTGTCCATGCTGCATCGCTTCTCAGTCTGGCTGTGCACGAGGTATTCTGGGTATGTTTACCTAACCATAGCACCCTTCAGGGGGTTTTGCAACATCTCAGTTGAAAACCAATGATATATAGAGGTTCCTATTCAATTGTACTGTGTTTCACTAATAACTTCAGGTCTTACAATAAGTGCTGTCAGCTTCCTTTTCCTACTTCAGTGATGAGCCCTCTTCCAGCACTTCTTTGTTCCATGCACAGTGATAGCCTTCTACCATGCACCTTAAGCCTCTCTATCCTTTGGCTTTACAAGTGAAAAACTGAGGTTGGAGGAATTCTCCAAGTTAATGCTGTGATCTTAAAGCAGGCCAGGATTAGGAGATGCTGGGCTGTGGCTGGTATCATTGAAGTCTTCCTTAGTGGGAGTCTGGAAGTCTCAAAAAACTGTTAATGGGGCCATAGAGCCTGTTACGTTCAGGTCATGGAATTCAAATCCAGACCATGTTGATAATTATCAACAGGGAATAACTTTAGTTTAGTTCTTAGGGCACTGATGTTCTTGGCCCATAAGCCATGACCATATTGTCCAATTTATCAGGTCTAAAACAGGGGCTGCGACTGGAGTCTTTCACCCCTCGGAACGAGGCACAAAGGTTAACATGCAGCATGGGGAAGCTTGCTTTGTTTCTGCCCGAGCCATTCATTCCTGTGCTGTCAGTCAAGAAAAGAGTTGGTTTTCAAGAACCTTTCAAGGGTACTAACTTCACGCAGTGTTAGAAGAAGAGAGGTGGTAAACTGTGGTAATCTGAGGTAGGGCAGTGTGGTACATTAGATAGAGTAATTGGTTTGAGAGACATGAACCCTCATAAAGAACAACCTACAAAATTGCAGTCTAGGATTTTAAGATTTATAGACGCGTTCACTTGAAGTGATCCTAGCAGTTTATTAATTTCAGCCACTATTAGAAGTAATGTTTTGTTGAAATTTATCTCTACTTATTGACTGGCTTGAGCTGTTCAGGATTAATTTACAGAAGAGCTGTATATGTGATGTGTCTTTGAATCTTTCAGGAAGGTATGTGCCTCTCTGAACCAGTTGGTCTTTAAGGCCCCATGTACACATTACACTTAAAACGTGACTAAATAGTTAATCGCATCTTAAATTGTCACCTGCTCAAACTTTCAATCAGTTAACAGCATGAAAAAAGGAGGAATAAGCCACAAAAGTATTCCACAAAAAATGTATAACTTTTTTACTCATTCCTATCGCACCATTTGAATATGTGGCCAGAGGCCCAAGTGGCTTGGAGCTGGCACCTGCCAGGGCACCCCAGGCACCCCCATGGCTGGGAGTCTACAGTTGACACAGGCTTGTAGCCACGAGGGCTTATGATCCCAGGCTCCTCTTGCACAAGCAGTAAGGCATGATGGGATCTGTTTTGTGATCCTGCAGTCATGCTTCCTGCCATGCACATGTGGCTTGCATGGCAGGAAGCGCAATTGTGTGGATTGCATTTCAAATACCATCACTGCTTTACCTGTGTGTCTGGAGGGGCGCCAATGGTGCTACTCAGACCTACCAGCATTAGGAGGAGGAAGGAATTGCCTGCAAAGTCTGGGTGGTGTTATTAATGCATGAGAGACTTACTGTGCATGCAGCTGGCTAACCCAGAGATGCTGGTGGGAGGTTCATACCCACCATGTTTTGAAGTTTGCTCTTGTTTTGTTTTCCCTGCAAAGCCTCCGAACTAGCCCAGACCCCAGGGAAAAATGTAACATTCAGTCGCTCGAGCAGTCCTGAGAAGATTACCAGCTCTCCTCCAAGCAACAAAAGTAAGTTCCCAGGTGGATTAGTGAAATGGAGAAAAGTGACTAGAAGCCAGTTCAAACTGCAGTCAAGAGCTGAGAAGTGCAGGTGTTGTGGTTCACTAGGATGTCAGACTTTTATTCTTTCCTTACTGGCCTAGAAGAGAATGAGCATTTGGTCTTTCCCTTGGCTGTTATTTCACTTGCTAACTTTTTTCAGCCAACCTGCTGAAACGTCATTGTTATATTCAGTAGTATGTGTTTTGTTTGCAACTTCTTTGAGTCCAGTTTGGTTTGGCATACAAAGAGACCTGTAGTGTGCAAGTCTGAAGTAGTTGGTGTAGCCTCCAAAAGGGACATAAACAGACCAACCTTAGCATATGCTTTTTGAGCACATCCCCAGGTACCCTTGCTGGCAATTTCCTGCAGAGCTGTGGTTGGAATCTAAATCTGTCCTCTCTGGGTAGAACTGTCATCTGCACCACTTTGGGCAGAGCATTAATACGTAGGAATAGTATCTCTGAGATGGATATCTGATGCCTATGTTCCTTAGCAGGAGGAGCAAGATCATTTTGTGCTAGTATTGGAAAGGGTTGGTCATGTAGGAAATACGTGGCGCTCTATTTGATTCATTGGTATGTTTGCTTTGCAGAGCATTCTGCTTCAAATAAAGCCCAGTTGAAGGTGAGCATTGATTCTTCCTTGTTTCTATTTTAAGATATGAACCATCTGATTGTTATGGTATTGTGGGCTTGAAGATTCTTGCCCCTCTGCTTTCCCAGCATTTTTTCTGTGCAGATGTCTGTTTATGAAGCAGGGTGAGAATGGATGAGAGTATTCCTGTCTCACACATTTGAAACTATTTGACTACCTTTTTATACGCAGATAAATGCTTAAGTTGTCAGTCTCTTGTAAAATTTATGCATGAGGATTTCTAATCCTAAAATATATGTGGGTGCATCTGAAACATAAACTGGTGTCTTCTAGGCACTTCGTTTTAGTGTCCATCAATAATGATGTAACCATGATGTTGGGGTAGGATCTGGGAGACTTGAGCCATCTTACAATGCAGTTTAGGTACAGTTCAGGGTATAAGGACTTCATGCACGAGCAAGGCAAGCTTTCCCTTGCACTGTTATAGGAGCTTGTTCCAAACTCTTGAATTTAGATGGACAACTTTGAGGGGAGAGGATAATTAATTGTCCATGAATCTGTTCAGTCTAGCCTCTTGGCTGAGGTTGTACAAGAGTTAGACTGATTCTCCTGATGTTTATGAAGTAAGCGCTAGGAAACAGAGACCACTAGACTTTTCTAAATTACAGTGTACCAAGCACTATAATGGATATGTGTGTAGTGCTTTGTGGCATATTTAAAGTGCATTTCTAATTTGATAACGCTTAGGAACTCTGTTACGCTTCTTGATCATTCTTAATCTAATTGCACGGCACTAAAAAATAAATAAATAATGATTATTTCAAACTCTGCCTTGAGCCTGAACCCTGAACTCTTTCTGACTCATGCATCAGTAATACAGATTGTGCATATTGGTTGATTCAAGAGCCTTCCTCTTCCATTTCTGTACAGGCTTTTTAGGCTGCTGGAAGAATGCAGCCAGCAAACAAAAACAGCAAGCTACTGCACAAAGTAAAATGATGCATCTGACTGAATACACAAGGGTGACTAGGGTGGCATTTGTGCATAGTCAGTTCCTAAGAATAGACCTACACTTCAAATGTGTAGGTCTATGTGCTACTAAAGTTGCAGAAAATGCCTTGAGACCTATTATGTCTCTGCAATGTAAGACCTGCTTATGTCCCATCAAAGTTGTCTGTAGGGGTCCTTGTCTGATGTCCCTGATTTGACATTGTCAAACTTGATGAGAAAAGAGAGAGTGAGCCTGCAAGTCCTATGAGTTCTGAACTCTTGGACAAAACGCACACAATTATTCCTTCCCACTGAACAGAACTGATCTATTTAATAGGGGTGCAGTCAATGACTGGGTAAAAGTGCTTACTGTTCTTCAGGCTCATCACATAACAGCTGTACTGCTCAGCTCTGCACAACCTCTTGTGGCTGGTCTGCCATGTTTTTGGAAGGGTTTCTTTTTGAAGCTCCAGATGACTTGGAGTAGAATTTGTGCTCCAGAGGACAGTTGCTGGCATGTCTCACCCTTGCCCCTCACTTCCATGTTACAACTTCAGATGCTCTGAATTGCGTCTTGTTCGGCAGACCCTTTTGCCCAGAGTTTAACATAGATAGCTTCTCTTTGGGAATCTAGTCCTATTCCCAGAGAATCGGGTGGGGATTATTCCACATTGAGAGCTCTCTATCCTTGTGCACAGACCTTACTGGTGTTGTATTCTCAACCCTTTGCCAACCAAAGGTGAGAGCTCAAAAATAAAATCCTGGTCCTTTGCCTAAGAAGAAGCTGCTACTGGTAGTGCACATGTGACTTCCTTTAACACTTTATGTTCTTGCAGAGTAAAAAGAATGAATATGTATCCACAACGCCTTACAGGCTCAGGAAGAGACTTGCAGGTAAGGGGTAACTGGAAGTTTAATCTTCTGTAGTAATTTATTTCCACTCATTGGCTAGTTTGAGGCATTCAGGATTAATTTAAGAGAGAGGTACATGTGTGATGTGTCATGTTCTATGTTTTTGTCATGAGCGAAGCAGCAAATTAAAGCTGGACTTAATAGGCTCAATTGGACAAGCTTTGTTGTTTGCGCTTTGTTCATCCATAGTGGAAATACAGAGTTTCCACTGAACTTTCGTTTCCAGTAGGATTCTCTGAATGCCATGAAGAGAAGCTTATGCTTTTCTCCAAGTCAGAAAATTGGGTCCTGCCATGTTCTTGCAGTGTTGTGCATTTTACTTAGTTGTCTTAGCTTATTGGTGTTCTCTGCATCTAGATAACTAATCACTGGTATGACTTCGGATATTTTTCAAAAGCACCTAAATGACTGAGCATCACTGGATCTTACACAGTATCCAAGTCATTTTTTGAAAATGGGATTTCGGCTTTTAACTCATTCGTGCGCTTTAAAATATTACTTTAAAAAATGTACTTAAATTTTACTAAATTGTATCTGCTTTTCTTAGCACTTTAAAGCCATGGGAGAATGAGCCAGATTGTTTTCATACTTTTGAATTAACAGATTCAATTGTGTTAACAGAATTTTCATTACAAAATTGTTATTGTTAATGGTGATTATATTAATCCAGAAAGAACCCAATTTGTGTTTGCAAAACTGGAAATTAGGGAAAAAAACCTCTTCCTACTCGGTCTAATGTAGAGTCTTTTAGAGAAACATGGAATCCCATAATGTCCCTTTCAGAGTGAGTCTTCGGTGAAGAGCCATATTTCAAGGCTTGTACCAATTTACGGAGTCTTACTAAATAATTTGAAAGAGAAAAGATAGAATTCGGCCTGTATATTTGCAGTCTTGATCAGAATAGGGTTTTTTAGGATAACAGTCCAGCCATGAAACGAGCATAAGAATTTGATGCTTGAAAGATGTTTAAAAGATGTATATGAGGTGATCTAGGCTATAGGACATGACTAGGTAGTTTTTATAAAAGGTTGTTACCAGGTCTTAATTTCCTGGATGTTTACGTCTTAGTTCCAGACTTTCATTCAGAAAGTGAGAGTGAATATTCTGCCTCATGCTCTGAGGAAGAGGAAGAGGCCTCCAAAGAAACCAGTGATGAAGTATTGGACCGAAAGACCCCAGCTAAAAGCAGAGTAGTTTCCACCCCATCTGTGAAGAAAACACCAGCCAAGAAGCTGAAGGGAGATAAAACTGTGAGTGTGGAGCAAGTGCAGCCATGAGGGGTAAGGTTTGGGGGTGGTCACTGGGAATAAGGCCATTGCACTTGAGTCAGAATCTAGGTCAGGTCTGAGGGAGAGCTGTCTGTCAGATTTCAAAGCAAACAAGGTAGGATGGCTTTTGTTGCCCAGGTTATGAGATGCTCCTGAACACTCCCAGCTGGAGGCACAGCATGTGCATGTCTGAGTACCAGCTATCCCATTCTGTACAGGCCATCAAACTTGCGACACACTTGATTCCTGAAAACTGCCTTGTAATTGGGAGCTAATTTTCCCATGTAACATTGTTTCTAGGTGGGGAATTGATTTCTTTATGACTGCTCCATACAGCTGGTAAGTCTGTTGTGAAGGGGAGGGGGCAAATCAATGCCCCGGCAGCAAAGGAGGGATTGGGGCTGGGGCAAGTACTGCCCAACCGGGGCGAGGGATGCCGTCATGCAGGATGAAGGTGTGGCTCACCTGGGGGGAATGGGGGGGGCCGCTCCTGCTGCTGTGTGCTGCTGGTTTGGGGGGCCACAGATGTGTGCAAGGTGGGCTGGGCCGGGGCTGCACCGTGCTGCGCTTTGGGTGGACGTGGCGGTGCTGGGAGCGGGGGCTATGCCCTGCTGCC